TCCCTCTGCGCTGCCGCCGCAGACATCCCGGACGAGGCCGCCTGCGGCACGGCCCTGTGCCGCCTGGTGAGCGAGCTGCCCCCGGCCAACAGGGACACCCTGGCCTTCCTCATGCTGCACCTGCTCAGGTGAGGGGGGCTCATCCTCGGGGGCATCCGGCACCCTGCGTATCCCTCAGCTCCCCCCATCTGGGGGGCAGGAGCAGAGCCCAGCCCAAGGCTCTTGGGGCTCCTCTGGGTGTGGGGTGCTCTGGGTCCTGGCTTTGCAGTAGCCTCGGTCCCTGCTGCGGGCTTGAGCTGTCCTTTACCCTTCCTGGCAAGCTGGGGTCTCCTGTGGGTCTGTCCCCATCTCCCGTGGTCCTGCCAGGGTCTCTACCCCCTTGCCCAGGCTCTGTGCCCCAAAGCAGGGGGTAGTGCTGAGGGTGAGGGGTTGCGCTGCCCTCCGGTGCACAGAGGGGCCCCGTGGCGGGGCAGCGTGCTCACGCCATCCCCCCCCTTGCAGGGTGTCCCGCAGCCCCGAATGCAGGATGGACGTGCTGAACCTGTCGCGCGTGTTTGGGCCCACGCTGGTGGGGCACAGCTCGGCCAACCCCACGCCGCTCACTATCATGGAGGACACGCCGCGGCAGTGTAAGGTGAGCGCAGCCCCCAGCTGCAGGCTGCGCCCTGGGCACTGCCTGCCTCCCCATCCTCCCTTCCTCCTTTCCTGCCCAGGTGGTGGCTCAGCTCCTCTCGCTGCCACCCGACTTCTGGAGACGCTTCGTGGGGATGGAGCAGGAGAACCCAGCGCCGTTGCCAGCCAGCACCCCGGCCCCAGATGGCACCCCAGGGAGCGAACGTGGTGAGGCACAGGCCTGGGAGCGGAGAGCCTCCAAGGGGAGGCTGTCCTTGAGCTGCAGGGTGCTGAGGGGCCCTGGGTGCCCAAGGGGGCTGGCATGTGCTGGCCCATATCGTGCCCTGACCAGGCCTCTGTCCTACAGAGCAGCTCTTCTGCCCCATCACCTCCCCAGAGTCCAACTCTGGCCAGCTGAGCCCTGCTGGGACCTGCTGCCTCCCCAGCACGCTGCGGAGCTGCGTGGGCACGGCTGCCCAGCCACCGTGAGTGCTGCCTGAGAGCCGGGGGGTAGGGGTGGGCGGGCAGCGTGCCTTGCACCCCTGACTCATCTCCTCTCCCTACGCAGGCAGGGCCCTGCCCCGAGGAACGTGGGTTGGTTCTTCCCTTCCCTGGTGTAGCTGTTGGCAGCAGCTCCCCAGGGGGGTGGAGCAGTGATGGAGGAGGAGCGAAGCCTGCAGGACCAGGCAGCTGCCCTGGGCTTGCTCAAGGGCCCGTAGGCCCATGGTGCTGGGTGGTGGCAACGGTGTTGAGCTCTGGGCCCTGCTCAGCTTCCTCGGGTGCTCCTGCAGCCTTGTGCTTGGGGAGGGGGGAGCAGGGCCCGGCTCTCTGCCCAGCTGGGGTGTTGGGGATGCTGGCTGAGCACTGTACTTACAGGCTGACTTGTATTAAATGCTTGCAGCAAAACAGGCTGGGCTGTGACTGATGCCTGTCCCCCTCCAGCACCGTGAGGAGCTCTCCCCTTCTCCCAGGGGTGCTGGGCAAGAGCAGAAGCCCTTTCTTTGCCAGTGCTTCTAGGCATGGCCCTGTACCTATACCCTGCTGCAGGCTTGGGGCTGGCCCTGGGCCTGGACTAGATGAGGGCTGAGGACAGACTCAAAGCAGGGGCCAGTTGCCCATTTCTGCAGAAGGGGTGCAAGGCTCAAGGGCTGGGGTGGGGGCAAGGCCTCGGGGCTCACTGGCATAATGAGGTCTGACCTGGGCACTCATGCCATTGCATTCATAGATACTGGACAAGAGCTGTACTGAAAGACAAGGTGAGCAGTGGTCCCCAAAATCCTTGCTTCTGGTGGTGGGCTGGATTACTGGGGACTAGGCAGTAGCTGGAGAGGACAAGCTGAGCCTTCCCTGCCCTGTCTCAGTGAGCTGGATGGGAACTCAGGTTACAGATGAAGCCCCTCCTCTCCCTGCTCTGGATGTGAGAGGCCCCCTGTTGCAGCCCAGATGTTGGCCTCAAAGTAATCAGAGCTGCTGCTAAGGGCAGGACAAGCTTAAGCATTTCCAGACTTCCTGGCACCTCAGCTGAGGCTCCTTTAACCCATTCTTTCCTTCCCTCTAGCCCCAGGAGGTGCTCCCTCAAAGATGGGGAAAGCTGGAGTGGAGCAAGGGCCCTGGCAATGGCTTGGCCCCCAGTTGACTCAGTATGAGGGACAGCCAGTAGCAGAGCTTAGATGAAACAGGCCTTATGAAACAGGGATGAATTGCCACATGGCCATGTCCAGCAGCTGCACTGTACTAAAAGCCAGGACAGATGTAGGATACAGAAAAGATAACTTAAGTCCTGAAAATGAGCAAGTAACTCTGGCTCAATTTCACCCAGTGCCAGGGGTGTTCACCAGAGGGCAAGGAAATTAGCACATCCAAGGCAGAGGCAAAACCAAAGGAGTTTAATGTGCTTAAAGTTAGGGAACAGCTAATCCTCCCCACCCCCGGACCACAGAAGAACTGGCACAGGAATGTGCAGGGCTGGGAGCAAGGATTTACTGCAAATCCATCAAGCTTGGGTGGTACTGGATGGATGTAAAAATCCCTAATGCAGTGCCTAGTTGAAGGTGAGAGGTGTGATGGGGGTCCTCAGCCAGCAGAGCACAATGTGGGTGGTGCTTTAGCACAGCCCTCCCTGACAAGAGGAGAAGATGCAGATAAATGGATAAACAGCAACACTGGTTACTGTAGTGGGAGTGTGCTGGGCTAAGCAGGGACTTTCCTTTGATAAAAGAACAGGTTTCTCAAGATGCAGGCAAGGTGGTAGATCTCTGCCACCTGCACATATTTAAGATGATTGCTCAGGTGCCCTGTGGATGTGGGAGACTGAAAGCAGGACTGGTGCAAGGGGAGACATGCAGCAAGCTCCCAAACTACAACCATGCTGGTGGGAAGGAGGTTGTTGGCCTTCCAGTGGGGCAGGGGCCTGCTGCTGTCACCCAGAGCTCTGTGCAGGCAGTCTGCACAGGTCTGCGCCTGATGGGAACATACCCTGCAGGGCTGGCAGCTTCTCTGGCTCAGATTGAGCCCTTGGAGATGTAGGGGTTCCTGGAGAATGGGTGCTCTACACCAGCACCCAAGCAGAGGGTGGCTACAACGACATCTGAGCTGGACCAATGAGGTGTCTGAACCCTCAGAGCCTTTGCAGCTCCCTCCAAGGCCAGCAGAGCTCTCAGAGCGCCTGTGCGTCCAACTCAGCACTCTGGTACCAGTGCCCTTGGGACACCCTTGGCCTGCTCTCAGTTTTCACTGGGCCACTGGGGCCCAGCAGTAGGCAGGAGCCAGCTTCGAGCTGTTGCACTCATGCTGCTTAAATCAGGCTCTTTACAACAGCCTCGTAGAGGGGAAGGCTGCCCCTGCAGAAGGGCAGTGGGTGCTGGCAGTGCCCTTTAGGGGAGAAACAGCCAAAGCTCATAGGACCTAGAATGCTGCAGGCAGCAAGTGCTCCACCCAGCAGCTTCAGCTCAGGGCTCCCTATACAGGTGCACAGCAGCCAGCCTGGTGCCCTGCCCTGCAGGGCAGTGTGCTGTCCCCAAAGCCTTCACCCTGCCCCAGGGCAGGCCCCTGGGCTGCAAGGGAAGCAGCACACAAGGCTGATGCTCACCAGCTTTAATGTCTGGCTGGAGAAGGAATCAGGCACTTGGAGGATTCCTGGCCTGCATTTGCCACTCCGGGGACGAGCTGGGAATCTCCCAGGAAGCAAAACCCTCTTCTGTGGGGCATGGCAGGGAGCTGTGGGCCAGCACTGGCAGTCCCAACCTGGCAAGTGGCTAACTCACAGGATAATCTGGTTCTTGTAGCTGCGGCTCAGCTCCTTGTGGGGAAGGACGATGGAATTGAGGATGACCACCTCAGCAGGGATGGTGACACTGCAGCCTGCAGGGAAAGGATGAGTGGGGTCAGCAAGAAGGGAGAAAGCTCTGTCCCATGCTTCAGGGCCAGGGCTGCTGGGTGCAGGCATGAACTAGGACATACCCAGGATTGTGATGGAAGGTGTGAGCCGTCCATCCCGGAAGAGGGTCTCGCTGTCAATCTTAGCATAGGGATCATTGGGGTTGGGGTCGCTAGGTGTTCCCTCGACCCGGGCCCAGCGCCCAATGGTGCTGTCCCAGCCCACAATGGTATTGAGGACGCAGGTGTGATCCTGGGGGGGAGGAGATAAGTGGTGGATGAGGGGTGCTGCCTCAGTGCAAGGGGCTGGGGTATGGACATCCACCCTAGGGCAGCCATACTTACATGCAGTGAGGCCCCATGCAGGACAATGGACTCGCGCACACGCACGCCAGCTCCCACTGTCACCCCCTTCCCAATAGAGACGTTGGGGCCCAGCTGTGAGGACAGAGGGATACGATGAGGTCGAGGACAACAGCGCCCTCAGCCTGCCACAGCAGGAGACAGCGAGTGCTGGGCAGCATCACCCCGAGGCCGCCCTGCTGCGAGGTTCCCCCCAGGCCTGCACTCACCACTGCAGTGCTGTCGATAGAGGCTGTTGGGTGAATGTACACGTTTCCTGCAACACAAAGCAGCTGCATGAGGGGAAGCAGCTTGCAGAAGCACCTGTCTGTCAGATCAGAGGAGGACCTGCCCATGGGTCCCACTTCCTCCCCACCCTGCTCTGCCCTCTCCTGCATCTGGCAGTACCAAAGCCTCTCAGGGTGTCGTAGGGATACCTCGGATGACAGGGCCTCCAGGTTTGTTCTGGGCCAGCCTTTCTGGGTGGCACTGGCTGTACTGGTTCAGGTAAAGGCGGCTGGCATAGATGGCAGAGCTGGGGGAGGGAAAAGAAGAAGATTGCTACTGCTTCTCTGGCACTACGAGGGCAGAGAAGGGTCGGGACTCAGCACCTGCCCCCCCCACCTAGGCCCAGAGCCCTGATTAGTTACCCTCCTCTCCCACCTCCAGTGTGGATCAGCACTCCTGCTGCACCAACCCCAGCTCCAGGCCTTACCCAGCTGATTTGATCTGGCTCCAGAAGCCATCAGTTTTGTAGACGTAAAGTTTGCCACTCCCAGCCAGTGCTGTGAAAACGTCCTGCTCGAGCCGGATCACTTCTGCACGCTGCCAGCCATTGGAGCCCTCCTCTCTGCAAGCAAAACACCCTTTAGACGCTCACCCCAGCAGTGCCTCGGCCAGGGGGCCCAGCAGCTACCCTTTCCAGATCTGGGGGCTCTTTGGCGATGGGGCTTTTCCTGGACTCCTTCCTAGTCATGCATCTCTCCTCATGGGAGGGGACAGCCCGAACTGTCAGGCCCAGCCTGCCCAGCCCTGCTGAGCCCCAGAACAGCAGAGGGACAAGGCCCTGCCACCTGAAACAAGCTCTGAGCCAGAAACTGCAGGGTGAGAGCACCACCCACCCCAGGGTGCATGTGCTGGCACGTGCCAGTTCCTGTCCTCCATTCCAGATGGGACCAGTGAGCCCTGCACAGCTCAATCTGCACAGAGGTGGTGGCACAGATGAAAGGCCAACTGAGAGGGTAGAGAGGGCTGGAAGGGGAAGCAGAGTATTCCCCACTGAAAGGCTCGCTCACCCCCTTGTCCTGATCTGTATGAGGATGGGGAGGGGGGAAGGAAAGGAAGGCAGAGATGGGGAGCCCCAACCAGACCTCAGCACTGGGGCTGCTGAGGTAGCCAGGAGGGGAGCAGCGCAGCAGGGGAGATGCACAAACAGTCTTGCGGAGCAGCCTGGAGCAGGCAGGAAAGCATGTGTTATCACTAGCAAGATCCAGCGCTGAGAGCAGCCAGCACAGACACAGAGGGAAACTTACCCAAGGTAAGGGCAGCTGGTGCAGGATCAGGAAACAAGTAAGTGATGGCAGAGGAGGAGAGAAGATAGAGAAAGAATGGAAGATGAGTGTGCTGCTGCAGCCCTGGGAAGCAGTGGGGTGGGACGGACGCAGGGCAGACAGGGGCACTCACAGCACTAGCTCCTGCTGGTTCCTCTGGAAGACATCGCCGATGTGCTGGAAGATTGCAGGTGTGAACAGGTAGATACCACAGTTAATAATCTCACTGACAAACGTGCTGGGCTTCTCGACATAGTGCAGGACCTGGAGGCAAGGGAGAGACTGAGTCCCAGGGCGCAGCCCCCACACCGGTCCCGCACCACACCCTCTGCGCCATCACGGCATGCCGGGAACACTCGCCCACGCAGGCGGCGCGGCACCACTGTCCACACCACACCCAGCTCCCCTATGCCCTCCAGTACCTCGTGCGTGTCCGTGTTAGCCACAATGCAGCCATAGTTCAGGGCCTGCGTCCTGTTGGCCTGCAGAGACAGGAAGCATTAGCAACGGTGAAGCAGCAGGCATGTAGATACGGGGCAGACGGGACGCAGAGCTCGCACCCAGACCACGTCTGCCGCAGAAGCCCCTGGCTTTTAGGCAAGCGTGTCCCAGAGCAATGCTGTTCCTCTGCTCCCCAGCACCGCCACTCACCGTAGTGCCCAAAATGACAAAGCTGTGCATGTCGCCGTGCTGCTGCCGGAAGTCCAGCATCTCCTGCAAGGGGAACTCGGAGCACACATCTGCGTTGAGGACAAAGAAGGCCTCAGGACCACCTGACAGGATCTGGTCCCGAAAGTGATAGATGCCACCACCCGTGCCCAGTGCTGCATACTCCTGGAGATACCTGCAAGCCAAGCGGGGAAGAGTGACTGCTTAGGGAAGCCGGTGTCTGGTGGCATTACCTGCAAGCAGGGCAGGGAACGACTGAAAGGAGCCAGACAGATGCGATCCTGCCATGCAAAGAGGGGACTCATGGGGGCTTTGGCACACGTGAAGGGGGCAGAGGCAGCAGCATCCAGCCAGGGCAGAGCCCAAGACGAGGGAGAGAGCGTGGGCTGGGGATCCCTGACAACTGGTGCAGCAAGGCGGGGAGCCCGCCGGGAAGTGGGGCGAGGGAGAGAGGCAGGCCAGGCGGGACAGCACAGGGCGGGCTCCCCGGTGGCGGGGACGCCCAGGGCGGCAGGGCTCCGGCCCACCTGATGGGGATCTTGAACTCCTGCTGTGCCGACCCCAGGAAGCGGCTGGGG